AACCTTGAGCCAGTGAGATTTGATCTGCTGATCTGCTGAACTAGCAGTCAGCTGAAGTAGCTGCAGTACAGCACTCTAACCACTGTGCCACCTCGGCTCTTAAGACGCACCTACCTTTTTTGGTGAGGAAAAGAAGAAAAAGAAATCTCCCTCTGCCTCTGAGCAATTTTGCCTCTTTGCAGCAAACAGCAAACAGCCTGCTTTACTTTCATTTTCGTTTTCACCATAGCTTGATTAGCATAAGAAAAAAAAAATCTGCTCCAACAATTTACCTCCTTGCAGCAAACAGCAGAGCCCTGCCCAAAACAGCTGAGAGCAAAACAGCTGAGAGTCGGGAGGCCGATCTAATCAATTTGTGCTAATTAGGCTGTGCTGAAGCTGAAAGGAGCTGTTTCTTCTTGCTGTTTGCTGCAAGGAGGTAAACTGCTGGGAGGCAGAGGCCAAAGGGTGGGGGGCAGTGGGTGGGCGGGGGCTACATTCAGTGTATAAGACACACCTATATTTTCACCCCTTTTTAGGGGGCGAAAAAGGTGCGTCTTATAGTCTGAAAAATACGGTATATTAAAGGTCTATGTACCACATCTCCATATCTCTCAAGAACAGAAAAGAAAAAAGGAACTTTCTTTATTACAGAATAACAAAATAACCAAGTTGGAAGGGACCTTGAAGGTCTTCTAGTCCAACCCTCTGCTCAAGCATTTCAGATAAATGCTGCCAAACTTTCCTTAAACACCTCCAGTGATGGAGTACCCATAACTTTTGGAAGGAAACTCTTCTATTGATTAATTGTTCTCACGGTCAGGAAATTCCTCCTTACTTCTAGGTCGAATCTCCTTTTTATGATCGTTCACCTGTTACTTCGTCTTCTGCCCTCAGATGCTTAGGAGCAGGGGTCTCCAACCTTGGCAACTTCAAGACTTGTGGACTTCAACTCTCAGAAGTTTCAAAGCTGGTTGTGGAAGTCTGGGAGTTGAAGTCCACAAGTCTTAAAGTTGCCAAGGTTGGAGACCCCTGCTTTGGAGAACAGCTTGACTCCCTCTTCTTTGTGACAGCCCCTGAGATACTGGAACACGGCTATCATGTCATCCCTAGTCCTTCTTTTCACAAGGCTGGACTAGTTAAAAGAAATGTTGCATTCTGATTTTAAATAACGAATAGTTCCTTGACAAATGAAAACATGACATTTTGAAGACGGGTTTTGACCCTTGGTTTGGGAGTTCAGTGCCAACATTTGAAGGGCTACCACAAGGAAGAGAGGGGGGCCAACTTATTCTCCAAAGAAGGCAGGACAAGAAGCAATGGATGGAGACTAATCAAGGAGAGAAGCAACCTAGAACTAAAGAGAAATTTCCTGACAGTGAGGACAATCAATCAGTGGAACAGAAGTTGCCTTCAGAAGTTATGGGTGCTCCATCACTGGAGGCTTTCAAAAAGAGACTGGACAGCTATTTATCAGAAACAGTACAGGTCTGCTGCGAGAGCACGAGGTTGGACTAGATGACCTCCAAGGTCCCTTCCAACTCTGTTACTGACTCATGAACTTTACAACTGTGACTCGGCCTAGTTGATTCTGCTACATGTTTTGACCCTCTGTCTCCAACCGATGACTGTCCTGTGTGACAGTTTGATTTGAAACCCTTGTAAGCCAAACTAGTTGAAGTTCTCTGTAGTGCAAGCGTGTGCGTTTGCAACTTATTTAGGAGAGAGAGAGAAAGAGAGAGGGAGGGAGGGAGGGGGAGAGACAGAGAGAAAGAGAGAGGCAAAGATAAAGAGACAGAGAGAGAGGGAGGTAAAGACAGGCAGAAAGATAGACACAGAGAGTGAGACAGAGAGAGAGAAAGAGAGAGAGACAAACAGACAGAAAGATAAACAAACACACAGAGAGAAATAGACAGAGAGAAAGAGAGAGAGAGGCAAAGATAGGCAGAAAGATAGACAGAGAGATAGACACAGAGTGAGACACAGAGACAGACAGAGAGAGAGAGAGAGAGAGGGAGAGAGAAAGAAAGAGAGACAAAGAGAAAGAGAGACAGAGAGAAAGAGAGAGAGTGAGATGGAGAGAGAGAGAAAGAGACAGAAAGAGAGAGAGAGAAAGAGAGTGAGACAGAGAGAGAGACAGAAATAGACAGAGAAAGAGAGACAAACATAGACAGAAAGTTAGACACACACACACAGAGAAATAGACAGACAGAGAAAGAGAGAGAGAGAGAAAGGGGGGGAGAGGGAGAGAAAGAGAGAGAGAGACACAGAGAGAGAAAGAAAGAGAGAGAGAGAGAGAGAGAGAGAAAGAGAGGGGGAGAGGGGGAGAAAGAGAGAGAGACAGAGAGACAGAAAGAGAGAAAGAGAGAGAGAGAGAGACCACCACATCTCTTTGCGTATCTGTGTTTGTGCATTATTTGGGGCAAAACACTTTATTCCATCTCACAGGATGCAACTGCTTCTCCAGCTCTCTCCTTAATGGCTCTCTCATCCCTTTCACAAAGCCATCTCCACATTCCTTTAGAGGGTGCTCATTCCTAGTTAAATTCTGCATTAAGGCAACACATCGACATCAATATTTTAGCACAACCCTAGAAACATCGTTCCTAGTGAACACTCCCAAGCATAGAGGAAAAACAGCAAAACTCTCAGCACTAGCAAAACCAGCGAAAACGAAATAAATCATTGTCGGTTTCAGGAAAGGCAGGCACACTGTACACCACTGTACACTAATGATTCGATCATGGAGGTGGTTAGCAGTATTACATTTCTGGCGGTGCAGCTAACAAGCTGTTTAGCTGAGTCACTCAAGTGGGAGTGCTGTGCCCGCTTGAGTGATGCATTTTCTGCATCGTATGCGAAGAGCACATCTCCTTTCTCCTGTCCTTACCACTTTCTTATAGGGGGACTATTGAAAGCATCCTGTTGTATTGTATTACTTTTTGGTTTGGAAGTACAGGTAGTCCTCGATTTACAACAGTTTGTTTAGCAATCGTTCAAAGTTACAACGGCACTGAAAAATGTGACTTAGGACCGTTTTTCACAGTTACGACCTTTGCAGCCATCCCCATGATCACGGGGTCAAAATTCAGATGCTTTGCGACTGGTTCATATTTATGACCGATGTTGTGTTCCAGGGATAGGTGATCCCCTTTTGCGACCTTCTGACGAGCAAAATCCATGGGGAAGCCAGATTCTCTTAATAACCATTAAGTTACTAACTTAACAACGGCAGTGATTCATTGAACGACTTTGGCAAGCAAGGTTGTCAAATGGGGCAAAACTCACTGAACAAATGTCTCGCTTAACAACAGAAATTTTGGACTCAGTTGTGGTTTGTGAGTCAAGGACTAGCTGTATCATTGTTTTGGACAGGAAGGCTGTGCTGAGAGTGTTGAGGACAGCAGAAAAGATTATTGGAAGTTCACTTTCTTCTATCCAGGACATGGCATATAAGCGACGCCTGAGTAGAGCCTGCAATATTGTCAGAGATGCTGCACATCTTCTCCATGACCAGCTTTCTTTGTTACCTTCTGGGAGGAGCATTCATGCTATCCAAAGCAGAATAGCTAGGTTCTGTAGTAGTTTTATAGTATCAACCGTGTTAACTCTCGAGATTCTTTTTTCTGCTATATATTCAAAATGTAATAACTGTCAGCACTTCAACCTGCATTTACTTTAGTGCTGACATAAGAAGGAGAAGAGGGGGCAGCTGGCAAGAGGACCTTGACTTCTCACCTACTTATTTTCCCTGAAGATAATGTCCCCTAGGAGAAGAGATGGGAGGGGGACATTCCTGGGAGCTGAAGTACTAGATATGGGGAGAGTGATTTGGAAGGGGGCCAATGAGATGCCGAGAATTGGGGAACGGAAAGGGAAGGTTTGGGGTCAGGAAGTCAGTGTTGGCTATGCCACAATCGGGGACAGGTCGTCATGCTTAATAAAATGAAAGATTTCTTCAAAGATTACTTGTTTGGAAATGCAATTTATTTTAATTAAGAAGACATCGAAACCTGACAATAACAACAGCAGCAACATCCCAAAATGCCAACTTTTATAGATTGATTGATCGATGATAGATACCATGTTTTCCCGAAAATAAGACCCTGTCTTATATTTTTTGAATCCCGAAATAAGCGCTTGGGCTTATTTTTGGGGAGGTCTTATTATTTTAGGGCACATGGAGGAAACCAGAGGAAATGGCGGGGACTGGCTGCGCATGCATTTAAATATTTTTGGGGAGGGCTTATTTTCAGGGGGGGGGCTTATTTTAGTGCATGCGCTCAAAAGCCCAATTGGGCTCATTAACAGGGGATGTCTTATTTTAGGGGAAACAGGGTAGATAGATGACAGATAGATAGAGATAGAGGGATAGAGATATAGAGGGATAGATGATAGACAGACAGACAGACAGACAGATAGATAGACAGATGATAGATAGATAGATAGATAGACAGACAGACAGACAGATAGATAGACAGATGATAGATAGATAGATAGATAGATAGACAGACAGACAGATAGATAGACAGATGATAGATAGATAGATAGATAGATAGACAGACAGACAGATAGATAGACAGATGATAGATAGATAGATAGATAGATAGATAGACAGACAGACAGACAGACAGAGATAGAGGGATAGAGATATAGAAATATAAAGAGAAAGATGATTGATATGAGAGATAGATAGACAGATAGATAGATACAGAGATAGAGAGACAAAGACAGACAGATGGGCAAAAATTTTGGGGATGTTGCTGCTGTTATTATTATATTTTGAATGTGTGTGTGTGTGTATATATAAATAAAAATTTGGCATTTTGGGATGTTGCCGCTGTTATTATTATTGTTGCTATTATTATAATCCTTGGGATGGTGACATTCCTGGAGGGTTTTCGAGAGCGGTATGTCGAAATTTTAATTTCAATGCCTTTGTGTACACAGAAAAAGGACAATGAAGGTTATCTCATCTTATCTAGATGTCACATGGAATGGCGTAAAGATCACAGTCCAACCTTATCTGGCTGGTTTGTTCGTCGATGGCATCCACGGCACTTTCCACAGAGCTGAGCAAGGACTGAATCTGATTGGCCGTCTCTTTCAGCAGGAAACGGGTGACAAACTGGTCCACATTTGTTCCTTGTTCGTAGACCTGGGAAAGAGGAAGACAACGGAACTCTCTGAGAATGTGCCTTTAAGACAAAGACGATGCCACCTGCCCGCAGGAAGTCCTTGATTTACAGCCATCTGCTTAGCAACGGCTTGAAGTTAAAACAGGACATATCACTTCTGGAATTTGTGCTTGTGAAGAAAAAAAGAATGAAACTTTGATCTTGGTTTTGTTGATTAGAAAGATTTGGTGTTATATAAATCGAATACCTATTAATATATTGCTTAATGCATGGTAAGCCACCCTGAGTCTCCGGAGAAGGGCGGCATATAAATCAAATTTAAAAAAAAATATATATATAAGATTTGTTGTTAAGCTTTAGAATAGAGGTAGAAATTAGAAAAGGGGAAATATTGTTATGCATATTCCTATATAATATTTTAAAATCAGTATGTAGATGAAAGGATCAGAAGTTGAAAGATGATTGTATTATGTACAATGTAATTATAATGATGTGAGTATAATTAATGTAATTAACATGACCAAAATAGTCAATGTTATCAACTACTATTTGGTATCAAAATTAACGATACCCAGATGCCATACAGTATTCAATATTTATACATTATCTATCTGTCTGTCTGTCTGTCTGTCTGTCTGTCTGTCTGTCTGTCTGTCTGTCTATCTATCTATCTATCTATCTATCTATCTATCTATCTATCTATCTATCTATCTACACCGTGCTTCCCCAAATATAAGACCAGATCTTAAATAAATTTTTGGTCCAAAAGACGCATTAGGCCATATTTTCTGGTTAGGGCTTATTTTTGGGGAAATACAGTACTAAATGCATCCATCTGGCTGACAATCTTAACTGGGGCTTATTTTGGGGGGTAGGGCTTATATTACGAGCATCCTGAAAAATCATGCTAGGACTTATTTTCCGGTTGGGTCCTATATATCAAATTTATATTTCGCTGATAAAGAAATAAAGGGAGACTAGTATAGATCTATTTTAAGCTACTTAGCTCTCATCAGCTAGCCATACCCTTACTTGGATTCGAATTTGGGCTGCCTGCATGTTAGGCAGTTGTATTAACCTCTGAGCCACAAGTTCTCCTCCCTTCATCAGTTTGAGCCAGGTGAGAGATCAAGTGTTTTTCTATCGAGACACCTGGTCTACCCCAGTGTATGTATGTATGTATGTATGTATGTATGTATGTACGTACTTCTTTTGGAGCAAAAAGGAATATATATATAAAGAAATGGCTAGTCATATATTAATGTGTAAAAGCCAAAAGTGGAGGTCAGAGTGTTTTTATCTTGTACTGTGCTAGGAAGAGTTGGAAGTCAATGCCTCCTTTTCTTTCTTTTTCTCTTCCACCTTGTATCTCTCACCCCCTTTCCCCCATTCCCTCCCTTAATTTCCTATTTTCTTTTCTTCTTTGTACTTGATACAATACAAATAAAAATGATAAGAGAGAGAAAACAGAACTGAAAAAAGTGACATCAACTGGTCCTTGCACTCCCAACTGTCACAAGCATTCCCACGGTCACATGATCGAGATTTGAGCACTTGGCAACCAGAATGTATTTATGACCATTGTATCAAACTGGGATCACGCGGTCACCATTTGTGATCTTCCCAGCTGGCTTCTGATAAGCAAAGTCAGTGGGACAAACCAAATTCACTGGAAAACCACGTGAGTCGCTTAACAGCTTCAAAGATTCACTTAACAACCATGGCAAGAAAGGTCGCAAAATCAGGCACAACTCAACTTAACCTTCTTGCTTAGCAATGGAAATTCTGATCCCAATTGCGGTCGAAAGTCAAGGACTACCTACAATAACGAGCCAAATCACCAGCCAAGCAGGAGGCTGAGTGAGTCTAATAGATTACTTAGGTCATGGGTCTGCAACCTCAAACACTCAAAAGAGCCATTTGGACCCATTCCCACAAAAAAGAAAACACTGGGAGCCACAAAACCCTTCCCTCCAATCCAATCCAATCCAATCCAATCCAAACCAATCCAATCCAATCCAATCTAATCCAATCCAATCCAATCCAATCCAATCCATTCTACTCCTACTCCTACTCCATTCTATTATTCTATTATTCTATTATTCTATTCTATTCTATTCTATTCTATTCTATTCTATTCTATTCTATTCTATTCTATTCTATTCTACTCTACTCTACTCTACTCTATTCTCTATTCTATTCATTTTTATTCTATTCATTCTTATCTGCTCTATTCATTCTATTCTATTTACTCTATTCTATTCTATTCTTCATTTCATAATCTATTCTATTCTATTCTATTCTATTCTATTCGTTCTGTTCTATATTCTTTTTTTTTTTTTAATTTGATTTATATGCCGCCCTTCTCCGAAGACTCAGGGCGGCTTACAATGTGCTCAGCAATAGCCTTCATCCTTTTGTATATTTATACAAAGTCAGCTTATTGCCCCCACAAACTGGGTCCTCAATTTACCTACCTTAGAAAGGATGGAAGGCTGAGTCAACCTTGAGCCTTGGCGAGATTCGAACCCTGCAGTAATTGCAGGCAGCTGGTCTTAATAACCAGCTTAATAACAGGGTGCCTTAAACCCCTGTAGTACCAAGGCTCTTTGGTAATGAATGGTAATGGTAATATTCCATTCCATTCCATTCTACTCCTACTCCATTCCATTCCATTCCATTCCATTCCATTCCATTCCATTCCATTCCATTCTATACTTTATTCTATTCTATATTCCATTCCATTCCATTCCATTCCATTCCATTCTATTTGTTTCACTCAGCCAGTTTGCACCACTTCGGGAGAACTGGTTGTTAACTTTCTGAGTAGTTTGGCAAACTGGTTGTTTGAAGAAATCATTAGGGCAGAGAACTGGTTGTTAAATTACTAGAATCCCACCACTAGTTCCACTCCACAAAAGAACAAGCAATTTATACCTCCCGATGCACAAATGGAAAGCAGAAATGCCTTGCAATAAAAATGATTTCCCCATTTTATCCTTCAGAAGAACAGCTGAGACTCATCCTGACAGTCATTGACAATCTGAAATGAAGGCTTGGTCTCAAAGCAAGGAAGCTTGCCATAATCTCTCCTCATAATAAACAATCTCATGCAAGCAGAAGGAAACGCAAACCACCTGAGAAATATAGTTGACCCAGATGATGAAATATATATATTCTGTTTATCCCTTCTTCACCCCCCCTCTTCCCCCTATGACCCACAATTTTGCATTTGCATTAGAGCGGAAAATGCATTTCCCTTCCTTAGAGGCTTGCAGGATTAGCTGTTATCAGATGATTCCACCCCTCTGAAGTTGAGTTTCATCAAAAGTAGAGAAGAGAAGAGAAGAGAAGAGAAGAGAAGGAGAAGAGAGAAGAGAGAAGAGAAGGAGAATAGAGAAGAGAATGAGAATGAGAAGAGAAATATAGAAGAGAAGAAAAGAGAAGGAGAATAGAGAATAGAATGAGAATAGAATAGAATAGAAATATACAATAGAAACAGAATAGAAATATAGAATAGAATAGAATAGAATAGAATAGAATAGAATAGAATTATAGAATAGAATGGAATGGAATGGAATGGAATGGAATGGAATGGAATGGAATGGAATGGAAGAGAATAGAAGAGAAATATAGAAGAGATGAGAAGGAGGAGAATGAGAAGAGAAGAGAAATATAGAAGAGAAGAAAAAGAGAAGGAGAATAGAGAATAGAATGAGAATAGAATAGAATAGAAATATACAATAGAAATAAATAGAATAGAAATATAGAATAGAATAGAATAGAATAGAAATATAGAATAGAATAGAATAGAATAGAATAGAATAGAATTATAGAATAGAATAGAATAGAATGGAATGGAATGGAATGGAATGGAAGAGAATAGAATAGAAATATAGAAGAGAAGAGAAGAGAAGAGAAGAGAATGAGAATAGAGAATAGAAGGAGAATGAGAATAGAATAGAAATATAGAATAGAAATATAGAATAGAAATAGAATAGAATAGAAATATAGAATAGAATAGAATTATAGAATAGAATAGAATGGAATGGAATGGAATGGAATGGAATGGAATGGGATGGGATGGGATGGGATGGGATGGGATGGGATGGGATGGGATGGGATGGGACGGGCTGCAAGTGTGATTGGACACACAAGGAATTTGTCTCCAATGCTCTCAGTTCTCAGTTTATTTACATGCATCTCCAAGCAAGATTTAAACCTCAAATTTTTGTAGTTTTCTTCCCGTAAGGGAGGTGTAAATTTTCTTCCTTCTCTCTTAATAAAGATGCCACTTCTAAAGCTACCTCCACATGTGACCACCTTTGAGATGTTGATAGGTGCTATATTCTAAGATATCTGGTTTATCACCCAGTTGGGGAAAAAAATCATAGAATTATAGTGCTGAAAGGGACTTTGGAGTCTTGTTATCCACCCCTCTGCTCAGGGCAGGACACTTTATACTATTCTGGACTAATGGTTGTCCCATCTATTCTTGAGAACCTCTAGTAATGGAGCACCCACAACTCCAAGTGGCACGTTCTTCCATTAATTGTTCTCACTGTCAGGAAATTTCACTTTAGTTCTAAGTTGGATCTTTCTTTAACAAGCTTCCATCCATTACTTCTTGTCCTGCTCTCTGTACTTTGGAGAATAAATCAATTCCCTCTTCTCTAGGACAGCCCCTCAAGTAGTATTGGAAGATTGCTATTACACCACTCTTAGTCCTTCTCTTCATTAAACTAGACATACCCAGTTCCTGCAACCGTTCTTCATATTTTTTAGCCTCCAGTCCCCTCATCATCTTTGTTGCTCTTCTCTGCACTCTTTCTAGAGTCTCCACATCTTTTTTACATCGTGGCGACCAAAACTGGATGCCGTATTCCATGTGTGGCCTTACCAAGGCCTTATAAAGTGGTATTAACACTTCACGTGATGAGAATACATATAATGAGAAGTACATTCGCTGTGAGAATACGTACTATGTTCTTGCAAAAAAAGGGAGTCTTTTTTCCAACAA